TACTACAGATATACAGGTTGAAATGTTCTACAATATAACTAATTATATGCCACACCTACTGAGAAGATCGGCGCCAACGTTTTCCTTGCCTTTGATTACACTGATTGTAAATCGATACTGTTGTAGCACCAACGCCCATCTCATGACTCGACCATTCGACATCTTTGACTTGTTCAGATAACCTAGTGCTTCGTGGTCTGTTTCTAACATGAAATCTTTTCCGTACAAGTACTTGTGGAATTTTTGAACGGCCCAGACAATTGCCAGGCATTCTTTCTCGGTGGTCGCATAACTCTTTTCCCTGTCTTGAAGTTTTCGACTCGCATACATCACAGGAAACTTGCTTTGGTCATGTTCTTGAAGTARGACAGCACCCAATCCAACAYCAGAGGCATCTGTTCTCAGGATAAATGGTTTCGAGAAATCCGGTAGCCGAAGGATAGGCGAATTCCCGAGTCGCTGCTTCACGGTTGCTAGAGCTTCCGCACAGGCATCGTTCCATTGGATCTTGTTTGGCATTCCTCTCTTGGTCAGGTCGGTCAGCGGAGCAGTAATGGCAGCAAAGTTAGGTACGAACCTACGATAGTAACTTAGTAAACCCATTAGTGACCTTACCTYTTTCTTGGTTGAGGGTGAMCCAATAGCTAGTATTCTATTTACCTTACCCTGTTCAGGTCCCAACGTGCCCTCTCCTACGAAATTTCCTAAGAACTCTAAGCTCTTGTAACCTATCAGGCACTTACTTGGCTTAGCGGTTAGGTGTGCTTCTCTTAGACGTGTAAACAMTGCTCGCAATATATCCAGTTGTTCTTCCCAYGTCTCTGTGTACACCAGGATATCATCAATATAATTCAGTACCCCAGGTTTCATCCCATCTAGTAGAGTTCGCATCATACGAGTAAAGGTGGCAGGGGCATTGACCAATCCGAAGGGCATCATCTTCCATTGGAATAATCCTCGCGGTGTTTGGAAAGCAGTAAACGCCTTGGCCTTCTCTGACATTGGGATCTGCCAATAACCTTTACACAAAT